ACAGTTCAAAGTTTCTGGAACAAAACGCGGCTGCTTTCTTATCTAACGTACAAATTTGTCACCAGTTCATCTGTCTTCAGAAAAATGTGTATACGTCAGTGCTTCGAATGGAATGTGTTTCATTTAGGAAACGAATTCAAAAGTTTACTGTACATGCCAAACCAGCATCAAAATGAGTGCTGCGAATATTCATGAATCAGGCTTTAATTTGGAATCGTTGAGTATCTCTGCCGAACGCTAGAAATTGCTATATTGCTTTAGTTACTGAGTCGAAGATGAAGGAAACGCAACTAGATGCAGGACTTCTAAGAAGTATATTTGAAATGCATGTGTCTGTGCTTTAGAAATCAATCACACCAAGTTTGATCGCAAAGGTTTCATGGTGATCAGCATTATGACGCAACTTTCTTTGACGTTGTCCACCCGATATGCAAATTTTATTGTTGCATGGTTCGTACTAAACTGCTGAAACAGCTGCAAAACAGATTTAAATGTGTACCAGTCTTGCGACTGTTCTTAAATTCTTCCTTGTAGTAAATGGCTGGAATGGGATCACTAGAAAACCTTTGCGTATACCTACAATGCCATATGATCTATGTTGGTTAGATTTGGAATGCTGTTTTCTTGCTGCTTGCGGTGGTTAAAAGATGCCAAAGTTGCAACTCTTAAGTTGGGTCTCAATAAATTTGCGCGTTCTTTAACTTTCTTTCTAAGTTGTACCACTTCCAGTTTGGCTGCTTCAGCAAGTAGCAGAGTCACTTGATGTGTGCAGTCTGACACAACGTTTTCCGTCTGAATTTATTCAGAACCAGAAAACCTCCAGAAAACCTGTTCATCGGTTTTTTGCCTTTAGTAAAGAGGAATCCAGGGTACTCAGACCGGTTGAGCCTTAATAAATTCAGTGAAACATGATATATCTGGGTACTGCCCAACTGCTGAGTTCACCTCCCGTAACAAACTTGCTTTGGTCAGTGATGCGGTATGCGAAACGCCTTGTCAAATGTACCGTTTATAGACGAGCTAACGAAAAGTTGTGTATATAATCAGGTATGCGAGTAGCAGATTTGCAGGTGGCTAGTGTGCTCAAGTAAATGCTAGTGTGCGTAGTCATTCTATCACTCACTAACCATCTGTGTGACAATAAAGCGTTCTCTCAGATTATATACCTACGCTATATAGGTAATAGCATATATAATGTAGTGTAGGTTCACAGTATATAATATGCAGATATCTATAAGTGGGTAGTATGGTTTTATGTAGATATGAGTGTCTAATAGAAATTCAAGTCTTCCAACAACAGCTGGTTTTCTATATAATTACCTGGATGAGATTAACTGCTGACTTTTTTCGTCACATTTATGCGGTATAATCGCGTTGCTTTGCCACTGCTGAGGTAACGACTTTTGATTAAATGTATCCGCATATTTATGATAAACGAGGTTTCAGTTTTTTGCCTGAAGCAGGTATTTCTTCGACACATTCTATTTGTGTTGGATTCGTAGCTTTGATTAAATCATCCATGGGCCTCCCCTGAAAAAACGCCAGCATGTTTGCCTTGTGCAATATGAATGAAGAGCGCCTATTCGTTGTTCTTTAATAAATATTTAAATTTTATGATTGCTGTGTTTTGTTTATGTTGTGCTTCCAGGCACTGCATTTGGTGTATCGGGCTTTAGAAGGCGACCCGGTGCCTGATTTTCTTCAGCCGGAAATGGTTCCTCCATCTAAGCGACTTTACTGTCGATCGACATCAGTTGCCGGCGATCCTTTTCAGGTATATTATGGCGAATTACTTACGTTGCTCATAACTCACCCTTGGTGATTACAACTTACTGTTAAGACTTAGTCACTACTCAAACGAGAAAATGAACAATTTCATGTCTATGGCGAAGTGGCGGCTTAGCGTTCTTAAGCATATTCACCAAAGATTTTTTCACATGACTCTTTCACATTGCATCGGTGTCTTAAATAATGTTAAATACTTACAGTGTATTCTACCATCTCTTTGAGTATTACTTAGCTAACTTCCGAACGATGTTTTGAACATTACTCATTGTCCTCAGGTATAGTTTTGACGTTGGAAAGATTCAGTGTTTGTACCTATACCTTTCTATTGTTTCAAGTTTCACTGCTTCAGATAATTTTGCTGCAAACAGAGTTGTAATGCAAATAACGTGACATCCTATTGTATTAACGGCCAGATCGTTGCTTTGCTTCTTTGAACGACAACTATATCTGTTTTTCCCTTGATTCGTCGTTCAAGACAACAGATGTAAAATTCTTTTTGCAGCAATGCATTTTGACCTCGTTATCAAACTTAAATAACAGTTAATTGAAGCACGAGCTTTACTTCGTATGGCTTAGTTAAGTTATGGTTTGTTTTCGTAGTATTTTTGTTATAGTTGTATTTTCTTTCATGGATCTCTCAAGTTCATTAGAATCACTTGATTAGTTATCATTTTGTTAAGTTTAAAATCTATGATTTTCAGTCTGTGCAGTATAAGACTCAGAATCGAGAGAAGTCCCGGGTTCAAGAGGTCACTCCCGTTTATTCTTTCCGATGTGATGAATGAG